CTTGGGTTGCTTCACTCACTTGTCAACATGATGCGAGTTGCATGGTACTTTTTTGACTTGGAGTCCCATCTAAGACCACCCTTGGTCTTGAGCTTTCCGCCGAAGCCACAAGTGGGCCGCTTCTGCATGTTGAACCCTCGTTTTGGTCCGGGCCTAAAACAAGCAGCCAACCCAAGTAAGTTGATTTTCTCTTCTGCGACTGAGTCGGAAGGACACGCTGAGACCTGCGCGCAGGTGAGGGCGACCTGGGCATGCAGGCTTCTCCGTTACTGCAAGGCCTGCCAGGGCAGAAGGGGAGCACGAATGCAGTGAAGTAGCCCAACAGCAAGTTGGGGCGCTGAGATCTCGGGTTTCCTCCAAATGTATGTTAGGGTAGACTCTGTATGGAAAAGAGTCAGAGAATAATATGTATATATATATATATATACACATACAAATTGTTTTCTGTGTACACCATGTGTGGTGTGTGGGCCAAAGGATGGGTTTCCCCTTTGTGGGATGGATTGAACTATCGGGAGAGGTCCATCTTTTCGTATTTGCGGAGTGCGTGCGATTGATGGCACGTTGCAATGGCACGCAATGGCAATTGTCCTGTTGGCTGTAAACAGTTGGGCCTAACTGCTTGGTCCATAAGAAGGTTTGCCCACTTGTGTCAACAGCCAGTTGCGTTGTTGCTTTTGCCTTCTTCTCATTGGCGAATGCGCCAGGCCTGCCAACTGCCTTTGTGGTTGATGGGCAAATGCCATGGGACGCAGGCAGGCCGTGCTAGGATTGGCTGAGTGGTAATTTCCATGCGCGAAACACCCTTGGAGGACCCTGATAGGGAACCACGGCCGGGTAGCGTTTGTTGATTGAGATGGAATCCGTTTTGGGAGGCCTTGGTTGGGCTGGTTGGGAGTTGCAATCTTTTCTGGAGATGAAGGTGGAACCCAGAAACGAATCTCTGTTAGAGACATCTCCTGTCGGGGGAGTCGCTTCTTTAAAGGGAAACCAAACGAAAATCCCTCATTTTGAGAGTCCGCATTTGAGACCAACTCACTTGGGGGACTACAAGAAACCAAGAAAATGATCTGTTCTAGGTGTTTTTAGGGACAGCTGGCGTGAAGCATTCTGTACCACCAGCTGGAATGGCGACCTCTCTCGCTTGCAGCACACTTCCGGGTCCAATCAAACGCAGAATGATCATAGGACCATTCATGCTCCCAGCATCAAGGGGATCGGGTCCAGCAATATCATTTAGTCGCACAACATGAAGATGACTAGATTGGTTGCTGCTAGACTGGCTCTCGCCTCCTGGGCAATAAGCAATCCTTTGATCGTGCCAAACAACCCAATGTCAGGCGTTTGTCTTTCTTCCTTGAGTACGCGCGGTGCGATGTTTGCCATGCGGAAAAGGTCTCGTGAGCGGCATGGGCATTGCTCGCAGAAGCCTCACAATGATGGTCCACACATGTTACCACTTGAGTTGAAGACCAGCCCCATCAACGCCACAAGACTAGATCCTGCTGTTCAGTGCCATGACATGAGCCATGGTCAGAACTATGCCGCCAGGTCAAGGCGAGAGCCGCGCCCCACTGGGCCAGCCCGCAGGCACGGGTGGGCAGAGAGCCCACATGAGCTCCCAATATCGTCCATTGGCGGTTCTACCTGTTGCAATACGGATCATATTCTGCAATCCCGAGATAATCTTCACAGCCTCAATAGGTCCTCTGGAATTGCCCGATAAGATTTAGGATCAGCTTCGTAGAAACTTTGCCCCAATCAACGATGTTTTGTTTTGTTTATGTTGTTTTGTGTTGTTTTGTTGTGTTTGTTTGTGTGTCTGTCTCTGTCTCTGTGTCTGTTTGTGTCTCTGGCTGCCTGCCTGCCTGCCCTGCCTGCCTTGCCTTGCCTTGCCTTGCCTTGCCTTGCCTTGCCTTGCCTTGCCTTGCCTTGCCTTGCCTTGCCTTGCCTTGCCTTGCCTTGCCTTGCCCTGCCCTGCCCTGCCCTGCCCTGCCCTGCCTTGCCTGCCTTGCCTGCCTGCTTGCCTGCCTGCCTGCCTGCTTGCCTGCCTGCCTGCTTGGCTGCCTGCCTGCCTGCCTTACCTGCCTGCCTGCCTGCCTGCCTGCCTGTCTGCCTGCCTGCCTGTCTCTCTGTCTCTCTCTGTCTCTCTCTGTCTCTCTCTGTCTCTCTGTCTCTCTGTCTCTCTGTCTCTCTGTCTGTCTCTCTGTCTCTCTGTCTGTCTCTCTGTCTCTCTGTCTGTCTCTGTCTCTGTCTGTGTCTGTGTCTGTGTCTGTGTCTGTGTCTGTGTCTGTGTCTCTGTCAGTGTTTGAGTCTGTGTCTGTCTCTGTCTCTGTCTGTGTCAGTGTTTGTGTCTGTGTCAGTCCTGTGTGAGAGTGTTTGTGTTTGCCTACATATGCTTTAGGTAGGACATGCTGACCGGACGTCAATACTTCCCAGTGACATTGGTAGCACAATCCCTTCTGCCCAACTGTCAATGAACGTGTCTCGCTGCACCATTTGACACATTTGTCCTAGCTCACTCGACACGTATTCAGTGCCATTTGAATGCCCATTTGACTCCATTTTGTTCAGGTGCTTCCCAACTTGTCATGTGCTTTATTCGAGCCAACCCTCGCTGCTCTGGACATGCGAGCTCACGCTCTCACAACGGCCGCTGACAAGTTACTTGTCACAGCCGAGAAGGTCCCGTGCGCATGACAGAGCATGTTTGGCATTGCGCCACCAGAAAGCAATGACCACGCAGCCCGACTGCGGAGCGCGGTGTGCAAGAGTGCGTCAAGAACAGGCTCCGCCGCATGTTGTGATTTATTATGTAATAATCATCACCCTGTTCGCTTGTTTAAGTCACGACTCAGATGCGTTGATCTGCAGGGCTGCGGCGGCCGCAAGTACCGGCAGGCGTGGGGATCAAGCCCAGCCTGGGCCGATGTTACTCTTCATTTGGCCACTTGCACTTGTTGCCTGTTTCTTGTACGCGAGACAGCAACGCAGTTGAAAGCAAACCTAAAGAACAGGTCTGAACTATTTGTCAAAAGGTTCGATTTGTGGAGAAGTAGAAGTGTCAGTGCCTTCAAGTCAGCCATTCGTTTGAGAAGTTGGCGCGGGCTTGCCTGCAGCCAAATCCCTGGAGCAAGAGGAGTTCACCATTCCGGGCAATTTTGCATCACATCGTAGAAGTTAAGCATGGCTCGTTTGCTTCCTCTCTGGTAGGCAAGAAGCAGCCACCATTCGTGTGGCGAAGGTTGCAATCCGTGTGGCCGGAAACGTTGAAGAGGTAGGAGAGAGCGAGAGAGAGAGAGATTCGGCTCCCCAAGAATCCCGAGGGGGCCTTGGGTTTTGGCCCCAAGTCAAATCTGATGTCACCCTGTTTTTTGGTTCGGGTGAACACTGAGTGAGTCCAGGTGAATCTGCTCAGCTGCAGCCTTCTCCTTTGATGCAAGGCGCATCCGAACACAAAAGCTGATGGTTTGCTTGCTTGCTTGATGGGTCTGAGGGGGTGCATTTGGGGTATTTGTTGTATTTGTTCTGTGTGTTGCTCTTGGAACATCTGGGGCGTTGCAGCACCCTACGAATCGGTGTGCAGGCCCAAATGGTTGGTTCCGTTTTGGTGTCCTTGTACAAGCCGCCAACCAGGAGATCAGTTGTGACGTCAATTGAGACTGTTTAGAATGATTGAAAGGCCAGAGCTGCCAGTCAGTCCATCGTTGGCAACAAACAGCTCGCACACGGACCAACCACCCGTTTCCCATGATTTGCGGATACCCACACATTTTCCATGGAATTGAGATGTGGTCAGGAACGCTTCAGTGGGCATTTTAAACAGCCATTGCAAAGGTTCCCATTCTGGGGAGCATGCCCATAGCCCGCACGCGGAACTTTGACCGCCGCACATACTCGATTTGCCTGTTACCTGCTGTGCCGTTGCTGCCGCGTCTAGGCTTGCCCGCCGTCGCCATTGGCAGCGTCGCGGAGGCTGCACCAGGCCGTACCCCTTCCTCTAGGTTTTTCATAGGGAAGCGCTCCCCACAGTCTTGGGTACCTGAAACACAAACCTGGGAGGTACCCGAACAACTCCCTTACAAAGGGAGCCTGAGAGTGGCTTTGGCAGGGTATAGGAGAAAGCGCAGCATTGCATGGGCCTCTTGTTGGGCCTATTGGATAATGGAATCTTGGGTGCTCTAAGTGGCAAAAGGTTGAGCTCTTCAAGGGCAATCCTGGAAGCTTGGACTGGCTGATCCTACCCCAGAACATGTCAGAGCTCATTGCCAGGTGCCGCTGCCGCTGTTGACCCGCCAAGGCCTCTTTTTCACTTGGTGCCCGAAATCGATTCATCTCTGCCATTACAGCACGGTAGAACCGAAAATTCATGGGTTTTGGCTGCTTATTTGGTGCCTTGTCCCCTTGCAGTTGCAGCCGCGTCAGTCGTCCTTTGAGCACGAATATCGTTGTGCTGCTTGAAGGGGACATGGGGAACCAGCGCTTTGAACCGTGGCAGACACCTCGGCCTCAGGCCAGCTCCAAAGCAGAAGCGCCGCGGCACGGAACGGGAGAGGGAAGGTTTGGGCGTTCCTGTAGGCTGAGTTCTGTTCGAGAGGCGAAGCGGATGGATCACAGTGCCTGAGGGTCATCAGCATGGTCAACAACATGCCCTGCCTTCGAAACTTCCCAGTTGAGGTCTGAGCTCCTGAAATGTAGGGTTTGATTGTTTGCCCCCCGTCTCCATGCGATCAACAGGCCTCTGACATAGTCCAGGCTGCAGGCAACTAAGAACTTCCTATCAAGAGGCGCAGCACAGGTTGCTGCGGTGCCGATCTCTGCCTGAACATGCAAGAGGGTGCGTAAAAAACGTCCATTTGGAGACGCTGACAGGCATGGGCCATTCTGAGCGATGCATGGCCTTGAATCGGGACATACCGGGTGTGGACGCAGGTTTCCCTTCTCCTCTCGTATCATGGTTTTACATGAAATTGCATCCAACATGCAGGCAGTCAAAGAGAACTGAACCCATGCGAGCTCGGGCAAAGCATGGTTACCTGAACAAGGTAGTTTGAAACATAGAAACAGAGGTAGGTTGGACGAGGCAAAGAAACAACAGATGCAAGACACAGTTTCAAGTCACTCTGTCCGGTCGCCATTGGTCCTTGCCGCCCAGGCCAGAGCCCGAAAGGCTGAGCCGGGGGGGGGGGGGCTTTTCTGTCTTTCCAGCCGAGAGAGCTGCTGGTTTGACTGGAAGGGAGCTTCCACGTCGACCAGCTGATGCCCTCTATTTTACTGGGACGGTCGTCCTGTAAAGGCACATGCAAACATATAGGCAAGGATGGCCAAGCAAGGTTTGGACTGTTGGAGACTGACACCTTCAGAAACTGAACCATGGTCCATTTCATCAGAAATTTAGTCTGCTCAACATGGGGACCCCTTTTTGGATTTGCCTTTTGATCATGAATCTGGTTTGCCCTGGAGAGGCACAGATATCATCTTGAGTACAGTTGTTTCACGATCCAACAATTCTAATAGTCGTGCGTCAAACTAGGGTCTTTATTTTGCTTATAAGGCTATGTATGTATTATTGCTTATATGTTGTAATCTATGTCTATATCTATGTTTATGTCATTGACCGGTCTCAACGTGGAACCAAGCATTTGGAGGGTTATTGGTTTTGCCACGGCGAATGTTTTCGATATTTCGCTGGACAAACGCAGGCTCCGCCAGGTCTTCGTACCTCGGCTAAAGAGGCGGGTGGGGGTCGGGGCTTAGCGCGCCGTCATGGCGGGCGTTTCTCCATTTGAAGGGGTTGATTTTAAACATATTCTTGGGCGTGGTTCTGTTTCGCCCATTGTCGCTTGCTTGCCTGCCAGCTGGCCTGTCTTGATAGCCTTCCAATATCCCCATTGGTCTTTGAGCATGCCATGGACCTCTGAAGCGATGCGCAGGAGCTAGGGTCAAGCCAGCCTGGCAAAGCCTATGGCTTTTGTTCTCTGGTTCGTGCGGGTTCCCGATTTTGCGTTTCTTTTTCCACCACTTCCAGCAGTTGATTTGGCTAGTCCGTCTTTGAATTCGGTAGTCGTTGCCATGCACAGCCACAAACCTGCGGCATGCATCACGCGCGCCCAGAGGACCACCGCCCAGTGCGTGGTCGCAGACTACGAGGGCTTGCCGGAGTCAGATTCGCCGCGGGAGCAGCTCCAGGCAGATTCGCCGCGGGAAAGGGAGTTTGACCGGAAAGTTGCTTTAAGTTTTGTTGGGTAGGTTTGCGGCTGGTCATTTGGGTTGGTTTGTTGTGTGATTCATACGTCCAAGACCTGACATAGATCAGCCATCAATCCAGCCTCAACCTGCCCAAATTATTTTCTAGCCCCGCCGCAAAACCGCCCCTACACCAAGCCAGCTGACCCTCAAATCAAAGCCAATCCAGACCAGGCTGACATCCCAGGACATTCTCACCAAGCCTTAAGCCTTCTACAATCGACAGTAGGCACTGAAAACATACTTGGATTGCGGGGGGGCCTTTGCCAACCATACGAAGTACAGGCAAGCGCCTCAACTTCGCAACAGTTTTATTGGTCGCCTGGCAGGCTGCCTTTAGGACGTCCAGAGAACCTTTGAGTTTGAAAGAGCCCACAAGTGGGATCTCCTAGGGTCAAGCTTCTTGCCCCTGTGACGACCAGCTAGGGTTGCAACCTGCTAGCAACCCGCCTCCCGGATGATTTCTGCTCAGCTTGCGACCTTGTCAGGCCATCCGCAAGGAGGACCCTGGCGCTGTGCTGGTGGCTGTCAGTGCCGTGAGGCACGCCATGGTCAAAGTTTCCGGTTGAGCGGGCAACTACTTATTTGTCTTATTTGAATGGGTTTTGCTCTTGTTTTTGCGCGTCTTATAGCAGAAGTCTTGAAACCCAATCGGGCTGCGAGTCTTGTTTGAGGCAGGAGGCAGGGAGACTACACAGCCTTTGCTGAAACAAGTAACACCGCTCTTTACACCACATTTTGAAGGAGGCCCCTTCGTGGTGACAGACCCATTCAATGCATGGGCCTCCAGGCCCTATCCACTTCTTGGCGTTGCAGTCTCTTGAGGGCTTGGGTTACTTCAAGGGTTCCTTAATTTTTGGTTTGTCGGACCTGGCGGTTTCAATGGACGCCAACAAGTGAACTGCAACTTTGAAGGAAAGCACAGTGACGCCTGTGACTGTGCACCACAAGGAACCCCATTGTTCAACACGCTCTTTGTCAATTTGTGCAACTGTAGCAAATGTATCATATGTTGTTGCCGACCGAGCGGCTTAGAAGATGTCATGGAGATGATTTTGCCCGTAATGAGAAACCTGAATGCCCCGCCCTCATCTGTCTCTTTTAAATATCTTTGCTTGCAGGCTGCAGGCGCAGCAGCTTTATTTCTACTTCATGCAGCAGCAGGTGTTGTTGAAGGGCGTCTACGTGATGCCTGGGGCCACAGGGCATTTGGTTGTGTGTGTGTCAGGTTCCATTCCAGCCACACCGCTGGTTGTTTGCGTTTTGTCGCAGGACATTGATGGGGAATATAACGCATTGCCCACCACGTAATCATTGCGAGCAATTTGCTGCATCGTGGTTTCAATATCAAGCGCTGCCGAAATCTTTCTGGGTGGTGTCGCTTGCCAGTGTATTTGGAGTGCGAGAAGCTTTCGGTTTTCGTTGCTCCGAAACAAGTTGCTAAGCCGAAGCCCATGCGGCACAAAGATCCCTTGGAGCTGTATTGTGGTCAGATCCCTCTTCCTTTGCGCTGGCGGTTGTGATCTGGGAAAGCTTACGACCTTTAAGTCATCTCTATCAATAGGTCGATGTGGTACAGATGCTGGGAATTCCCTATCATTGGCCTATTGGCAGGCGGTGCGGCGCTGTGTGTGATAGGGTGCTCCTTCACTGCCTTTCATCCTTTGCCTTGCATCCTCTGACCGTTGACACGTGACCAAGTTCCAGAATTGGCCGCTCTCACCCTGAGGCCAGAATCAGCGGAAGGCTGGCAGCAACACTCGGAGAGGGCACCTATTCAACATCAAGCGTTAGCTTATTTGAGCCTAGCGGCAGTAAAACAGTGGCAGCTGGCCGCAAGCAATTCGGGATCATTGTTTGGTTGTGAATAAAGGACATTTGCTTTCATAACGACTCTCAGGAGTTGACTCCCGTCATTCCCCTCACTGTCCGCTTCAATTCCCGTCATTGAGCCTTGCATCCCTTTTCTGCAGTCTGAAACCAGCAACTGTGTTCAGGAGGCCAGGTGTTTGGCGCACAAGCATTTGTCAACCCTCATTGCCACATGGCAAGATTTTAGGGTTTGGGTTCCAAAATTACCTGTGAGCTGATTCATGTACTGGCCCGGTATGACAAGGAATACCATTGGGTACAAGTTACACATCTCCCAAGTCAAAGCCTTGTGTTGCCAGGCAATCGGGCCATCCTCGTGCTGGACACGGCTGAGGCCAACCTCCGCGCATGTCAAGCGAGTAAATCAAGCATGTGGTTGATCTACTGAGCTACTTGTGCCGAGCGACCGATCATGGGGATGGCTTTTTGTCGCTCTGGAATCCGCTCACCCGGCAACTTGCCATCCCTTGGCCTTTTGCGCGACCTTCCATACCTTCCATAAAAAGAACTGGGGGGCGTGGTGGGCCTAACGGACCTCAGTCAGAGGGAGCGCGAATCGTCCAGCTCTTCTCTCAGCGTCTCTCTCGGCGCCGTACAGCAGAGAGAACACTGGCTCAGCAGCCGGGCCAAGCCCAAAACTCACAATTGATTCTAAGCAAGCAGACGGCTAGCCCACAGCGAAACCTAAACGAAACCCAAACCAAGTTGCTTGGGACGTACCCCAGCACACCTTTTTCGATGTGCGGAGGTTGCAGACGAACTGATGCAGAAGTCGCACAGTATCCATGATTCGGCTGCTTGGCCACAAGATTCGCCATGGGAGCTGAGTTGGGCTTGATTGTAACCCGGATTTCTTCCGCGAAGCTGTCACGCATGTGACAAGAGGCATGCCTTCCACACACAACAACGCACACGTCCCTCTATTTTTGAAAACGAGCGCCAAGCTAACATCAGATAATTTTGTAACATAGTGTGGTGAAGTATTTCAAAGGAACTCTGGGCCCCTTTGGCCGCGTTCGACTGGGATTCTTGACAAACGGCCGGCGTTCTTTGGGATCCCCAGACATGCTTCTTTTGGACGACTTTTGTCCCTCGGAGGGGTTTGTTGAGATTCAGCTCGTGCTTTAGCCCCGCCACAATCTCACAGCAATGCCGCTGTTTTGGCCAAAGCTGAAGCAATGAAAGACAGAGCCAAGAGCGAAGGGGGAACGTCTTCGCATTTAGCCTTGGGGAAGGCTTTTCTTTCTCCCCTCTCTCTCTTTTTTTTCTCTCTAAATGTGCCCCTGAGGATGTACGTCCGAGGTTCAATAACGAGGTGGGAACTCGCCACCACGCTTGGTAAGTGTACCTGCCTGCGGCTATGCAATTATTTTTTGAAGCCTTCACTGATTCGATTGTGTCGTATTTGTTTTTTCCTCTCCCTTTCGGACCATTGCCAAGCAGACTTACAGGCTGCTTAGACACCAAGAGGCAGGGGCATTGCTAGATCCAGGCAGATTCGCCCCAGAATTATGGATTTTGATGGCGGTTGGCAGAAAAACAATCCAGACAATAATTTCAGATTGTGGCATCGTCAACGCCATGGTCTTTTTTGGCCGCCTGTTGAAGCCAATAGGAAGCCCAAAAGGGTCAACGATCAGGATCCATAATTTTGGCAACTGATTGTACAACACTTGCAGGGCTCCTGCAATTGACTTTAATTTCCAAGTGCGCTCCCTTTGACTTGCCATGGTACCGTATCAGCAAGGGATACCCTTGCTGGCTGGGATCCGTGAACGCGCGCTGCCTTTGGCATTGTTCAATATTTGGTGGTTCCTTGAAACATGCGAATCCCTACTTGGTGGCTTGAACGGGAAACAAAGGCAGGACTCCATAAAGAGGG